ATCCCGAATAAGGCAATGCCTTCATTCAAAGGTCCATCGAATGCAATAATTTGGAGGCTTTGTACACTCAAGGATTGACACGTGTTTGATTACATGATTTATCTCTCTAATTTATTCCGCATAATTTCGTTCAAAGCTAAAAATTAACCATCAACAATTTCAGTATGTTGCAGTATTAGTATGTAAGCCTAGTGAATGTTGAGCTAGGAATGGAGATACTGAAGAGGGCTGCGCAAATCGAGCACCATGGAGCTTCTTATGTTGTTGGGCTCCTCCTTGTCGGCGAAGGTGGCAAGTTATTGAAAGAAGGAGTTCGACTGTTGAGACAAGTCTACGCGAGAGCAGGCGAGTAATGGAATGACGTTGTAGTTTCAGATGAGCTTTCTATGTTGTTGGGCTCCTCCTTGTTGGCGAAGGTGGCAAGTTATTGAAAGGAGGAGTTCGTAGTAATGGAAGGTATCAATCTCCATAGCTTTTGGCAACAGTGATGAGACGTGATTTTGATCTTGAGAAAATTGGGTTGCCTTAAAACTTTTGGTCTTCGATTGTATGAGGCAGAAGACGAGGACATACGCTGACATTGATTGGACTGATCGAACTAAAGGGAACTACTTGAAACTTGAGCGGTGATTAAAGAGTGAATGGTGTTATGCCTATTTAAAAAGATTTTATATGCTTATGTTGAATAGGATCCTATTAAGGGCAATTAGATTTAAGAGGCAGTATCGAGTTTCGTGTCCTTTAAGTTACCTATTTCCTATTTTGATGAGGATAGAATTTTGGCCAAAAAGAATAATCATCAAGTATAAATAAGGAAAGTGTCGTGCACGAATTATTTGGAGTGAGATGAACATACTTTTAATTGTCAGTAAATCTAGCCCTTAAAAACATAATAAGCTCTTTTCTCATAAGTCTAACCAATTTGGAAGTGCCGATAAACCATACAGTTTAAATTTATTCATTACTTTCTTTCGAAATAAAAAAGAAATATTTGAAATTACAAAAAAATTATGATAAACTCCAAACCATACAGTTTGGGAGTTGGACATTTAACATTGCCCTATTGAATGTGTAATGAATGAATCTAGAGTCTTGAATAAGAAAGAATCTCTCAAGACTCTATTTCTTAAGATTTTTTCGGTGCCGGTTCAATTCCGACCGGAGTGAAAGGGAACTTTTTCTTTTTTCTTCTTCTTCTTTTTTTTTTTGGGTAATTCTGAAGTGAAAGGGAAAGATGTAAACATTGTACAGCTGCAAATGCACATGCTGTCTATCTGACCGTTTCTATCATGCACAACACATACTTTTCAAGACTTTACATTACACATTTTGTCATTTATCATAGGTTTCCCATGAACTATGTTGTGTCAATAGCAAATGCTGATTTCTAGCTAAGGAAGTTCACGCATGCAACATGTCATTTGAGTCCCGTCGCAAATGAAATGAGAAAACTTGAAATGATTAAGAAAACAACATTCCCCACATGTTGCTTCTAGCAGAGTTGGTGATATACTTATTGCAATATTAACCGAATTCTATATTTGTTGTCGATTGTGGTCACGTGGAAATTAATATAATGAGCTGCAATATTCCTTGAGTTTTATGTACTTTAAGATACCTATGCAAGTTCTGTTCATGTCAAAGATGCTCACTATTTGAAATTTGACCGTCTTACTTTCATGCTTTTCAGCAATTGCCCATAAACCTTGCCTTAAACTTTCCACAAACATATCATTTGGTTATGTGACGATTGTCAATCCAAGCTTGGAAAACCCGATACCAATAAAGAAAGTTGCTCTCCCCTGTGTGAAGAGGATGACTTGGAGATTACATAATTAGGTCAATGTACATAAAATTTTAAAAAAGTTACTCCTCTAGAAAGATTGAGGAAGAAGAAGAGGAGGATTAGGAAGTGGAAGTGGAAGTGGACGGGGGAGAAGAAGAGAAGAAAAAAGAAAATGCTTGAGCCACAAACAGAAAAAGATGAGGAAGTAGGACAGTTGATCGAGAAGGGCGCAATCTATACTTCACTAAAAAACAGTTGAGAGACTTTTAGATTTCTCAACTTTTGTCACCGTGCCCTTCTTGACCAATTATCCTCCTCCCTTATCTTTTTCTGTTTGTGGCTTGAGCATTTTTTTCTTTCTTCTTTTCTTCTCCCTCGTCCACTTCCACTACCTAATTGTCTTCTTCTTCTTCCTCAATCTTTCTAGAGGAGTAACTTTTTTAAAAGTTTATGTACATTGAACCAATTCTGTAATCTCTAAGTCATCCTCTTCACACAAGGGAGAACAACTTTTCTTTATTGGTATTGGGCTTTCCAAGTTTGGATTGACAGTTGTCACAAAACTAAACAACACGTTGGTGGAAAGTTATAGGCATGGTTTCCAGGTAATAGCTGAAAAGCAGAAAAGTAAGATGGTCAAATTTCAAATAGTGAATTGACATGAACCGAACTTCCATAAGCGTGTTAAAGTACATAAAACTCAAGCAATATTGCAGCTCGCTATATAAATTTCCACGTGACCACAATCGACAAAAAAAATATAGTACTAGGTTCATACCAATATAAATATATCACCAACTGCCCTAGAAGCAACAGGTGGGGAATGTTGTTTTCTTGATCACTTTCAAGTTTCCTCATTTCGTTTGTGACAGGGCTCAAATGACAAGTTGCATGCCCGAACTTCCTTAGCTAGAAATTAGCATTTGCTATTGACACAACATAGTTCCTGGGAAACCTATGATAAATGACAAAATGTGTAACGTAAAGTCTTGAAAAGTATGTGTCGTGCATGATAGACACGGTTAGATAGACAGCGCGTGCATTTGTTGCTGTACAATGTTTACTTCTTTCCCTCACTTCAGCATTACCAATAAAAAAAATAAAAATAAAAATAAAAAGTTCCCTGTCCCTCCGGTCGGAATTGAACAGGCACAAAAAAATATCTATTTTGTTTTAACAAGATGGATGTTTTCTTAGTAATCTGATGGTGAATCTTTTGTTGCTTTTTATCTTTCAAATCTTCACCGCTTCTCCGTTTTTTTTTTCTCCAAATCAATAAAATATGTCTGTGTTATTTCCAAGTTTAATAATGCAAGACCCTCTTGATTACAAATGAGCATCAACAAGTGCAAAGCACAACGTGATTCTTGTTCATGAGCTTGGCCGAACTCTCCTAACTTTGAGGGCTTAGTCCAAGTAAATCAATTAAGCTTCCAACCATTCATTCGAGTCCATCCGTCGCTAGTCAAATGCAAATACAATTTTATGGGCCTATTACTATATACAAATTTTAATTAATTTTTTTGTTTAGGGGTCGGGGTCGATCCTAATTTTCTATGCAATAAATGACTAACTCGGTCGTCAAAATTTAGGTGTTAACAATTAGTAATTTCTAAAAGGAGTTAGTTTATTCAAAAGGGTTTCTATTGATACATAAATTTTGGCCACCCATTTAGTTGTTTGTTCCATAGAAAATTAGGGATCTGCCTTAATCACTAAACAAAAAAAAATTGCATATAGATATTACGAAAATTTGCGTTAATTAGGCCCATATAATTGCAGTTTAGTTGGACCAGAGCTAATGGACTGGCTCTGGGAGGTTCTGAACTTAATTGAAAATTTGAGAATGAGCCCGTGAAAGTCTGAAAATTTGAAACAAGCCTATTATCCCCTTCATGGCTGATATATACATGTGACATGCGCATGTGGTACTTCAAATTAGGAAATTTAATTTGCTTAATCAAGGTTAAAAGCTATGAAACTTTATTTTATCAAATTTTCGGTTAAAAGAAGACCAAGAGGGAGACGTGTACCCACCTGCGCATGGCCGAGTTGGTGGGCGCTTTCCTTCCCTCAAAGAGGTTCTGGGTTTGAATCCCCGCTCGGTTCTGTAATTTAAGTGGAGGGCCCTGGCGGTGGGTTGCTGGGCTAGTCTCCCCCGAGGTATAGGCGCTCCGATTACCTGTGCGGGCTCGTCCCCGGGGAATGGTGGCGGATCCTCGGTTACCAAAAAAAAAAAAAGGAGGGAGACGTGTATTGAGGGTTGAATAAAAGGTGTATTCATGATCATAATTCACGACAGCATTTAAGTGAGAAAAAAATCCAATGTGGAGAAATTTGGGCATAGATTCTCCTAACACTTATCCACGACAACATGTTTGGTTGGTCTCGAAGGGATTTGTTGGTGGACATAAACGTGCGGGAAAAGAAAATAGAATAAAAGGGAGATCATATAGAAAGTAGAAAAAGGTTCTGAGCAATTCACAAGGGGACAAAACAAGAAAGTGTGTTATCGTAAGGCCTCTCTCTTATGCTACTGCGTCTACTTCCATGAGGCAAAAGAGGAAATATAAGGAAAAATTTCAAATGATGGTTCAAAGTGGATGAGTTTTCTTGAGAGAGGAACCAAAGCGAATGATTTCTCAAATAACGGGCTAAAGTGGCCATTTAGTCTCAAATAAAGGCCTAAGCTCACCGGTCGGTCAAATCTTCGTTGGCTAGCGAGCACAACTAAATTTGAAGAGCCGGCCAAGGTGACGCTTGAACGCAGTGCCACTAGCCATGGAAGATGGCCAAATTTGGAGGTGAGCTTGAGACCTACAACTTCCCTCCAAGCATGAAGAAATGTCTTTGGATGAAAATGGCCCTACTCATGTCGCCAGAATTAGCATTTGCTAGTTGGCCGACGAAGATTTGGCCAGCAGATGAGCCCAGACCTTTGTTTGAGATCAAATGGCCATTTTAGAGCTTTATTTAAAATAAATTGATCACTTCAGGCTCTTATTTGAGACAACGTATGTTCTGAATTATCTTTTTGAGAAAACGCATTCACATCGATCCCTTATTTGAAATTTTTTCGAAATATAATAACGGGAGTACAAGAAAGCGAATAGCACAAAAGTCTATAATGACCCATCGTGCACTGAGGTTCATGGGAGCTCGGTCAACTTTACAGTTTCTCCATAGAAAAAGAAAAGACAAGACGGAGAGGCGTGAGTGGAAAGGGAGGCTTTGACGCGTTTACAGAAGACTCCAAAAGAGCACGTAGAAAAAAATCAGAGGAGGCCGATTTTTCTTTCACGAAGAAAAGAGACACACGACACTGAACAGGAAGCGCGGTGTTACTTCATCTGCATGTTCATCGCTGCCGCACCACCATCGCACGTTGCCTAGCCTCGCCGTTGATACTGTGCCACCTCCAGCCAATCCCAAGCGTTCCTGCAGCAACTCCGGCAGACTTCAAGCGACTCGGGCAACCTCCAGTAGCCTCCGTAGGCGATCCCCAAGCAACCCGCGTTCAGCAGTCTCGGCAAGGCGTCTAGCGGTGGTCCCAACGGCTCAGTCACTGTCCAGCAGCTTTACAACAACAAGCATTCGCCATCGCCGATCAAGTCAACACTCGTATCAGCATCCAGCTGCTCTGTCGCGCCAAACCAGTGAATGTCAAGCAATCCACAGCCCGGCAAGGGAGTTCCAACGGGTTCCCATTGACAGTCCAGTCTTGTGGTCACCTTGTCGGTTCGTTCCTCGCATCCACATCAGTTCCTGGCGACATCTAGCGACAGTCCAGACGATCTCCAGCTGAGTTGTGTTTTGTTTTTCCAGATTTCCTGGAGGCAGCAGCTACAACACATCTTTTTTCCGCAGTCAAGTTTCGGTTAGATACGTTGATTTCCAGGCTTCGCAGAGAACTTTAGTCGCGTCCAGCAGTCCTCACGGCCGAGTTCGCTATAAGTCCGGTCTCATCGTCTCCGCCCCCTATTTGCTGCTCCAGTTTTCCGGCGGTTTACAAAACTCTCTGGTGGCCTCCGAGCATTGACACCAACGGCAGCCAGCCACCGTGATTGATATTGCCGCCGGTCCAGTTTTAGGAAACAAAATTTTCGAACTAGGTAATTTCCTAAACCGAATTTAATTTGATTATTTTGTTACCTAGTTTTTTTTGGTCGAATATTTTGTACCGAGGTTCCGCTCGTTTCACGGAAAATAACTTTTGGGCAAACGTTTTCTGAATTTTCCGGCATTCGTTTTAAGGAAAATAAATCAATCATGGGATTTTCCCTCAATAGAAAAAAACACCTTTAATGTGAGGAAAATGTTTTCCTTTTTCCAAAAAGAGGAAATCATTTTCCCTCCTCCTTCTTTCACCAGTCATTTTAATTATTTTTGTTTTATTTTATTCTTTTTTTAAATTATAATTTTTAATTATCTTTTATCTTTTTCTTTTTTTTCTTCTGTTCTTTTTTTTTTTTAACCTACTTCTCTAGATGGTCGCCGGCCACGGTTTAGGCTGGCGACTGGCCACAGGTGAGCTCGAGCCTCGCTAGAGGGCGGCGAGGCTTGAGTTGACCCATTCGACAATGCTCGAGCGAGGCTTGGGCCTTGCTAGATTGGCAAGGCTCGAGGCCTCGCCAGAGGTCGGCGAACAAGTTCGCTGCCGCCTTGAGCTTGTCACCCTCTAGCGATGCCCGAGCCTTGTGGCGGGGCTTGGGCCTCGCTAGATCGGCGACACTTGATCTGGCAAGCTTGACCCTCACCGGCCTGTGGTGAGGTTGGAGCTCGCCTGAGGCCTGTCACCAACCTTTGCCGTGGTAGGTGATTGGCTGGAGAAGAAGGTAAAATAATAATAATAATAATAATAATAATAATAATAATAATCAATTTAAACAAATAAAAAAAAATTATAAAAAGTAGTGTATGGTGGAAAATCCGATTTGATTTTCCATACCAAGCTGCAAAAAATATTTTCTGAGACTTTTTCAGATTTCAGCTTAACACCAAAAAATTGTGTCATTTTCCTAAATAATGGCTTCTTGAAAAACATTTTCCAAAAACGTTACATTTTCCGCGAAACAAATGAAGCCTTAATTTATAATTATTGAAATCTAATGTGGTTTGGTTCGTGATTGTTCCGCATTATCGGATAAGGAAAGTTGTTGTTTTGAGAATCACTATAATAAAGAATATTGAGCCACGAGACGTCGGATGAGATTTTTCATTATTTTGATTTTCCATTTTGGGTTGTGCTTGGCTTATATGATTTATTATATTGCTTGTGTTGCTTTTTCGTAGACTTTCCTATTTTGAAAAAAGACAAAAATTGCATTGCATAATAGATTAAAGTTGTATTTCATTTAGTTTAACTTTTTTATAAAAAGAATGACAAATCAAAAAAGAATTAGTTAGAATTGCATATCTAGGATCATGTAGTAATTTAGAAAATTTTTCTAATTTATAATATAATATAATTTAAATTATTTCCTAAATTAAATTAGATGATTTTTTGTTTAGATAGTTTTCCATTTCAATTTTAAGAGAAAAATAAAAAAAAAAGGTAAGAATATGTTTTATAGAATGAGTTGCCTTCATGCCACAACATCGCATGCTATGTCATCTGTGCCATGTCCCTAGCCATGTCATCAATGTTGCCATGTCATAAATTCTATGTCATCGTGCCGCATCATTTAGGATCATATAAATTAGATCACATACCATGTTCGAATAGTTCATATTAGTTTATGCTCGTCATTAGAATTAGGTCATATAAATTCCATGTCATGTGTGCAATAAACATGCATGTTAAACTTATGTTAAAATTGCATATAATTAGTTTTCATAATAAAGTAAATCCAAAAAAATTAGTTAGAATTGCATAAACATTTAGAAATCATGTTTAAATTCGGCATATATTTTTAATTAACACTTTGCAGACACATGGAAATTAACCATAATAAAGTTGTGGTTTGATTTGCTTGAGGTGTTTAAGTTCTTCCCTTATTTTAGCAATTTATTTACTGATTTGATTATTGGTTGTTATATTATTGATTACGTACTCGCATGATCACCTCTGCATGTTAGTTGCCTAAGTTAAAAATTAACCAAAATTTCTTGTGAAATATTTTTGAATAATATAGAGAAAATGTATCGAAAGAGCGTTGGATTAATTTAGCATAATCAAATCCTCAAATAATAAAGTATCCTCCCATACTTAACTTGGGTTTTAATCGACCCTAATTGATTATGGCGGCTCCAAAAGGTAATAAAATTATATCTTAAATTGAGTATCAAATTTCGATTGGTAAGGCTTGGGAGAATCCGTGCAAAGTCTTTGGCTTAATAGTCCTTAGCTTTCCTTTGCATGGTTTGCCTCTGGAAAGGTTGCGACATCTTATAGCCAAGATAAATAAAAATTGATAACTCAATAAAGAAGTTGGAAAATTAAAAAATAATTAAACATCGGTAAGTAACTTAAATGAGAAATGGTAACTTAAAACTACTTGATAATTTTATTTGACAAAAGTTGTTAATTCACTCTAATTTAAGTTGGTAATTTCATATAAGAGTTAGTAAAATTTGACGTATTAGTAAGTTATGCAAATAAAAATTAATAATTTAATATAAATTGAAATTTGCAAACTATTAAAAAATTGATGATTTCATGAATTGATAAGTTGCCAACAAGTTACAAAAATCATCGCTTTTTTTCTATTAACAATTTTCACACTTAACAACACTTACTGGGATTTATCAACACAAAAGAAAAATCTAATTTTTTAGAATTCTCTCTTGAAAGAATAATAGCGGAAATCCATCAAGAATAGCCAGCGGGTTTTTGATAACCGGTCACAGAGCAACTTCTTTTTCCATTTGGGCATCGAATTAGTCAATGAAAGAACGGCTGCAGCTCCGCCAGCCCTAAAAAGCACACGAGAAAATTATTCATGTGGAATATGAAGGAACTACATGTATTTAAAATAGGAGTGATCGGTTCCTGGGCGATCCGATTACTACCCAGAAATCAGGAACTGGACCAGAGTGACTGTTCCCAGTTTCTGGAACCGAAAATTGGACCGGTGCTCCCTGGAATTGGACCGATCGATCTGGTCCGGTTTTCGGGTGGACTAATGGAACCGGTGGCATTTTCTTATTTTTTTTATTTGTCCTTAATAGTCAATATGAAATTGAAGATGTTATTGATAATCAAGGCGTTTCTACAATCAGTGAGTTACATGTAACATTATAGGTTTCATAGAGATTTTTCCAATTTGTAGCAAAATTTGGTTAGTATGAGCAATTACTGCTGTATTTTGATATTTTCAAATTTTTAAATAATAAAAAAATTGGTCATGTTTAGGTGGTTCAGGTGGGCAGTTCCACACATGGAACCGAACCAAAGTTCACTGGTTCCAATTTTATGGAACTGGGAACCTCACGGTGCTCTTGGGAATCGTCCAGAACCAACCGGTCTGGTCTGATCTTGACGGTTCCCGGTTCGGGCAGTTCCTTTTGCTCATCTCTAATTTAAAATACAATACAAGTGAAATACAAGAATAAGAAGAGTAATAGTTTTTTTTAGTTTTCAATAGCATTGCCAAATGTTATAGATGGACTTAAATCGATAAACAGACTTGCTGTGTGATGCCTTGGCCCTTGAATAACTAACGTGTACATTAAGTAGTCATTAAAAAATGATAAATAAGAATACTCTATAATTATCCTTTCATCACCTCAAAATGAAGATATAATGTATAATTAGAAAATATCATGACTATACAGTTTGATTTTGTGTGGACTTAAGGTTTGTGTACAATGTAAATATGTACAAAAAGGCAAAATTTGCATTACAAAAATAGTTGGCTTGAGCATGAGAAAAGAGTTAAGTTAAAAAATTTTGACTTTGTTTGAACGAAAGGAATATGGGGCACAAAAGTTATAATTATGTAGTTTAATATATTTAAAGTAAAAAAATTAAAAATTCGTAAATTCTCGTGCATTGGAGGAGCTTTCTGCCAGTATACGGAATACAATGACAAATAAGATTATCAAAGAAGTATGAAAAATTTGATAGTGATATTTCTGGAAAAATTGATTCTGTACTATGATCTTTTTTTTTAATCCACGTTAGCAAATATTACATCTCTTGACAATCAAAGGCAAGACTAGCACGGGGATTGTAAAATATTTTATACATATGACTTTTATCTGTGAACTTTCCAGATCTTAGTAATGAGTTAGAAACGTGTTAAGCATAATTCATAAAAAAATATATTTACAAATTGAAAGAATATATAAATATTACAAAATTAATTAATTAAAAATTGATTTATTTTTTCTTGGTTGTTGAAAGGGCGCTCTGTTGGACCCGAATATTCGAACCAAACCGAGCCTATCATTTCGGGTCGGTTCATCAAGGATCATGTTTTGGGTCGGTTCGAAACTCGACTTAACTGGACTTGTTCCATGTCGGGTTTGGTCTTATACAAACAAGGCCCATTGACAATTCTCAATTCCAGGATACTCGTTAGCAAAATTCTCTTCTTGTGGTCATTGGTCAATCCAGATGAGTAGTCACAAGCAAGACATGGAGTGTCCGTTGCCAACCGCAAGCAATCCTTAATCCAATAGTTTATCCTAATGCAACGAACCATAAAGCGTCTTATTAGGACACCTATTTTGGAGCTTTGATGAGGAAAATTTTTATGTTCAATTCTATACTTTTTGCATCTTCATGCCCCTGATGGCCCGAGATTATATCATTAATTAATGACGACAGCTGGCCTAATCAAATGATGCTTCGGTCAAAATCAAGAATACTAGAAACCAACTAAGACCAAACCAAAATCTTGATTTGATTAATGCTGGAAACCAATAGTTAACATCTTGTCGTGCCCATTAATTCATGTTTGTTAAATCCATACCCTTGACATATATAAACGCACTTGCTGCTAGGTGCTTCCGGCCTAATGCAGTGTACTCACAAACTTCATCAGAATTCACTGCAGCTTATGTATTTTGAACTCTAACATCAGAGCTTCATTGGTGCTTCTTCTTGTTCAATTCTTGCTGATCAGCTTCCAAGAAGATGACAGTCTTAGCCTTCACAAAGTTGCTTGTGCTCTTCACTCTCTACCAACTGGCTCTTCCAATCTCCTGCAGAGCCAACCAATTAGACAACCTCAAAAAGCTGATTGAATCCCGAAAATCCCGCAACCCTCCTAATTCCAAACCATGGAACTTGGAGAAGGCTTCGTGTGTTTATGTTGGACCTCAGGAAGGACTGATGAAGGCGGACAAGATCACTGCTTTGCCCGGACAACCGGACAGAGTGGATTTTGATCAGTACTCGGGGTACGTCACGGTCGACCCAAAGGCCGGAAGGGCGCTGTTCTATTATTTCGTGGAGTCTCCTCGGAATTCTTCCACCAAGCCTCTGGTGCTGTGGCTCAATGGAGGTAATTAACATGTGCATCTTCTCAACTCTCAGGACTTGTCTTGATCATACATACATAAAACTATCTTCGAGTTTCATGTTACTCCTCCAAACTAGAACACTGTAGAGATATGTCCATATTAATCTTGATTCTAGGAGGATTAGTAAGATATATATATATATCCTTTAAACTAAGTCCCTGGTATTGTGTAGTGAAGTAGTCATTGAGCATCTTTACTTGTCAGTGACAATGATTGTCGATTGATTTATCCTCCTTAAGCTTGAAGATCATTACCATCAATGATTCCCACCGTTTCACTCTCCGCGCTTGCTTAGGGAAAAAACGAAGGGTGGGTTTGGTACAAGACAAAAGGTGCAGTTTTTTTTTTATTTTTCGTTTGTCATTTATTGCAAAAGAAAGCTGTGTTCAGTTTTCCTTACTAGAAAATGATGAAATAAAACAGTATTTTACAAGATTTTCATATTCTTAATGAGATACGCACCCTTCAGTCCAAACACATTGTTTCTTTTCTTTAGTCACCAAACGCTCGGATCCATCTCCTGCCACAACTCATGAACGCACAATTCCTGTGGAGGAAGCACTACATGCGCGCATAATGTATGTCCCAGGTTTCCCCACTCAATTTGGCAAGCAAAAACCAACCACATCTTCACTCAGCGTCAGTATAAGTCAGTGTAGTGCTCCGGCAACCTCAGTGGACGCGCACATTGTCCCCACAGGAGACGTTTCCCACTCAAACTCATGCCACTCCCAATGATGAACTGCCAAGATTATAAAAAGTCTGATGCACAGAAGTGTATACCTGAAATTACCATGACCAGCCAACCAGGAGTACAAGCCTATATTGGTCCACTTTTACTTGTCACCAACAAAGTCCTAGTGCTCTTTCCTTTCAGAAGCCCCACTTATTTGCTTTCGTCACAGCTATTCAGGCATAAACTAAGGCCTAAAGACAAAACTAAGTCACAATATTTTTTTATTGGTCGTCTCTGTCATGTCGGTAACCGGATGAATCTTCCTGATAAATCGTTCCTGAGATATGGTCATTGTGTCATCCTTAGTCATTATAAGTGTAGAAACCAAATTAGGACATATGAAGGATCAGATTATGATAGGCGCGTCCTGCGCAGGTCCCGGATGCTCATCCCTCGGCTATGGAGCTATGGAAGAACTAGGACCTTTCAGAGTCCACAGTGACGGGAAGACTCTTTACCGAAACGACTATGCCTGGAGCAATGGTAATTTGTAACTCCATTCCGAAACCTATGGAGGTTACTGTAATAAGATATATGACCGATCTCTTCACACTTGCTCTTTTGGCAATGAGGGATGTACAGTCAAGTATCGCAATCCCTAACCCGGTACCTTACGAAATGTGCAGTGGCAAATGTGATCTTCTTGGAGTCCCCCGCCGGAGTCGGGTTTTCATATTCAAACACGTCCTCCGACTATGCAAAAACAGGGGACAATAGCACTGCAGACGACTCCTATACGTTCCTTGTGAATTGGCTTGAGAGGTTCCCCCAGTACAAAACCCGAGATTTCTACATTACTGGGGAGAGCTATGCGGGTCACTACGTGCCTCAACTTGCTTATACGATTGTCTCAAGGAATAAGAATCCGAATCAAATGCGCATCAACCTTAAAGGCATCGCAGTATGTTCAATAAAATCATTACTTGGCCTCTGTCAATTCGAAAGAAAGTTTAGTATGCTATCTAAGTGTGTGTGTATATTTAATGGTTGTTGCAGATCGGAAATGCATGGGTAGACGACAATACGTGCCTGAAGGGAATGTATGAGTATTTCTGGACACATGCCTTGAACTCAGATGAAACACACGCGGGAATAATGAAGAATTGTGATTTTGTTGCCGGGAAATTTTCAATCGCCTGTGAGGAATATCAAAATAGAGGTCATCAAGAGCATGGTGATCTAGATATCTACAACATTTATGCCCCATTCTGCAACCCAACGGGACCTAAATCTAGGTCATCCGATTCTGTAAGTGATCCCTCCCAAGCTTTCATTGAATGCTACACAAGATAAAAACATATGGCGAGAGAAATTTTAGACTAGATCGGATGAATTTGAACAATAAGAATATTTTTTAACTAGTCAAAGGCCTGGTTAATTAAAGAAACAGATTTTTTGCATTCTAATTCATGCGTGAATCGTATTGCTAAAATCGAAAACTAGTGATAAGTTATCCCGTCATCATTTCAATGATGTACGTGACAATACTCGGTAAAAGCCAATTGAAATAGTAAGTAATACATTTGATCATTTGGAAAATATTAGAGAACTAGTCATCTGCTCACTTATGAGTTTCGTGTTCTCTATTGCAGGTTCATGACTTTGACCCTTGTTCTGATGATTATGTCGACTCGTATCTAAATCGTCCGGAAGTTCAATTGGCTCTTCATGCAAAACCTACACAATGGTCCTTTTGCGGGTAAGCTTGAGAATAAATTGTGAATTTCAAATTCATTACATCATAACCACATGAAGTGTGGATGATATCATCCTTACAAAGCTGATGAAAATCGAGATCGAAAATTTATTACCTGCATTAACATGCAAGGTTTCCCATGTCCATAATTTCAATATGTGTTCTTATTCATTTTTGCATGTCTCCAGTGACTTTCCTTGGACAGACAGCCCGGCAACCATTCTACCAACAATCCAACAACTCATAGCAAGCGGAATTCATATATGGGTATATAGGTAAATACCACTAAAAACCCAAATGGTTTCATTATACTGGTAGTTTAATGGTCATCAAGATGACAGTAGGAAAATTTTACAAAGAAGCCACATCAAATTCATTCACTTTAAGATAGACAGTGCTAGTCTTTCTTAACCAAGTAATAAGCATCATATCTAATTGCATAACCACAACCACAGTGGCGACATTGATGGGCGAGTTCCAGTGACATCATCTAGATACTCTGTGAATGCCTTAAACCTTCCAGTTGAAACAGCTTGGCGTCCATGGTATACCAATGGCGAGGTAAGACACATACAAGAGACAAATTTGTGCTCTCTAATTGTTGATGTATATTTATCTTTGTTAATTTTCCTTATTTGGCAGGTCGGAGGATATGTAGTTGGATATAAAGGGGTGACATTAACTACAATCCGAGGTGCTGGACACACAGTTCCAAGCTACGAACCAGAGCGAGCACTGACCTTCATTTCGGCTTTCCTTCAGGGACAACTTCCTCCAGTCTCTTAGGAAACCATCTTACACTCTATCAAGGCCACAATATGTGATTACTTGGTTGCACTTCAATATGAATAGCATGAATAGTTCCATACATGACTCTAGATAGCCTCTTGGAAGGCATTTGTATGAACTTTATCAATGTTAAGATGGGCAATTGATGTAATTTTAGAGGATGATATATGCTCTAAGAATGTCTTTTAGTCTCCCATGACGTCATTTCAGACATAAAATACTACATAGTTGAGAAGACATTGAGATATACGTATGAGTCATTCTCGATAATGACTGCTCTTGAATACATTCTCCCAAATCACGAAATTGCAAAAGTAACAAATAGATAATTTGTACCTCACCAACTATTTGATATTATTAAATGAATTTACCAGATATGGAATATGCCATTTCTAATTGCATCAATTTGAATTATAATTTCTAAGGTAATTATGAATTTATTAGTCTTTCTCCATTTAAATGTCTTAGATGAATAAATTTATGCACACGTCACGTGGAATGCACGATGTGCACACGTGACATGCACGACGTGTGCATGCTTTTCACACAACTTGCACACCCTAGCCACTTGCCACATGCTCAAGCTGCCTACACAAGTATATAAATGTGAACTTAACTATTCATTTCTACATATCCGGATATAGTTTCATAACTAATCTAACGTGACAAATGTATTTAGACATGCAAAAATACTAAAGAATTGTGATTTTGTTTACCGGAAGTTTTCAATTGCTTGATTAATATAAAGATTGAGGTGATCAAGAGCCTGGTGATCTAGATATCTACAAAAATTCTCCCGTTGAGAGAATAATGGAGAAAACCATGAAGAAAGCACATGCATTTAAAAATACCATACAAGTGAAATACGAGAATCAGAAGAGTAATATTTTTATAAGAATAACATTGCTAAATGTTATAGATGCACTTAATTAGTGCTTCTTCTTTTCTGTTCTTACTGATCAGCTTCCGAAAATATGACGCTCTTAACCTTCACAAAGTTGCTTGTGATCTTCGCTCTCTGCCAACTGGCTCTTCCAATCTCTTGCAGAGCCAACCAAATAGACAACCTTAAAAGTTGATCGACTCCCGGACATCTTGGAACCCTCCTGATTCGGAGCCATGGAACTTTGAGAAGGCTTTGCGAGTTTATGTCGGACCACAGGAAGGACTGATGGAAGCAGACAAGATCACCAATTTGCCCGGACAACCAACGAGAGTTGATTTTGATTAGTAAGTCAGATATGATGTAGCTAGCAAGGATCACCTAGAGGGGGGTGAATAGGTGATCTTAAACATTTTTTGATAATTTATGCGGAAACAAAATAAATCACAGAAGAGTCTGAATAAAATTCAGATTCAAGACAGATTATATAGACGGTGCTCTTGATGTGCAGAATGTAAAGTAAGAGATAAGGGATAGAGAATCTGCACACAAGTTTATAGTGGTTCGGCTTATAGCAAGCCTACGTCCACTCTCCCACGCTTACAGCCTACCGGCTAGATTTTCACTATGTAATCAAGAGGAATTACAACTTCTGAGTGTTAACACTCTTGTGTATGATAGGACTCTCTATCTCACATAATCACTCTTACAAAGTGTCCCTCAAGATCTTAATGTTTGGCTCAGAACGACAAGAGAAATGATTGGAGTATGCTCAGACTTTGGACTTGTTGATTCTTGATTCTGTACTTCCTTCTGCTGCTCGTTGATCTCCTTAAATACTCCTCTACTAGCCGTTGGACAGCTTTCAGAGGATCATCTTCCAATCTTCACCTTGGACAGATTTGTATAATAAGGATTGAGTAGCCGTTGGATGACAGATTCTGAATCCCGCTGATTCTGGTCGCCCATACAATCAGAATCTTGGTTTCCATAAGTAGAGCTTTGTCCGTTGTAATGCATTCTTGTCGTAATGTTTGATTGTCAATCAATTTGATTGAGATTGAGACAATCAGAACATTCCTTCTGTGAAATCCATGCTAGATCACTAGCTGTTGTGTTTCGTTCTGAATTATGCGTCTGAAGAAATTCTGCGTCTGCGTCTGCGTCTGCATCTGAATAACTTCTGCGTCTGAATCTTAGAACCTAGATTATGTGGGTCTTCAAAAACATACTTGACAGTTTGTAAAGTCTGAATAACTTCCTTCTAAGTTTCCAGAATATAAATACCTGGAATAAATTAAGTTCAGAATAAGTATCAGACTTATAATTATGTGGAAGGTTTTGTCAACTTCAAAATTAATAGGAGTTTTCCTCAACAATCTCCCCCTTTTTTATGGTGACAAAACTTTCCTGCAGATTGAATTATTTTGAAATTGATTTTAAAGTAAATAAACATATTAAGCTCATGAAGCACAGATTGAAAGAGCAAACTCTGATATCTGTGTCTTTTTCTTCCTTTGTATATAACCTGTAAATCTGCATATAATTTCTCCCCCTTTTTGTCATCAGCAAAAAAAAAACAATAGAGAGAATAAATCGTAGATATTAAACAATCAACCAGTCTAACAAGAAATGTTAGTGATATTTACAGACCAAATGAAAATAAGATGAGTTGGATAGAAATGTTGAAAAACAGGCTATTTTTTAGGAGTACGAATCAATTGAAAATTTTCCAATATTGAGACAGCCTCCTCAATCTTCGAACTGCATTGACCTATGGCCTTATCCATGTTGGATGAGCACATAGTAATGGCTTCCTCTAATGCTGCTTTATCTACTGCTGCCTGAAGTTGTTGAGCCTTGTTGTTTTCCTCAACAATTCTCTGTAGATTCTTCATATTTTGTTCTAGAGCAGCTTGCTTGTCTTTAATCTCGAGCAGAATAGAAAGGATGTTCTGATTTTCAGATGGCTGGCCTTGGACATTAGCTTCCTCAGACTGATTGTACCCTGTGGCTGATTCTGGTGGAATCTCCTCCTGAATAGGTGCTTGATCTTCAGAAACATGTTCTTCATGAATTGGTTCTGAAATCTTGGAAGCTGGTTCAGGAATATGTTCTGGGCCTCCTGTTTCAAAGTGTTATGCTTCTGCTTCATCATTTTCATCATGCAGAAGAATTCTTCGTTTCTTGCTGTACACTTTTATTGGGGTAGGAGAATCAGGCTGCTTGCTGGTTGAACTAGTTCTTTTCTTTTGCTCTTTTTCTTTCTCAATTTTCTTTCCAACAGATTTAGTCTCCGACTGTTGAGCCTCTTTTCCTCTTACTCTGTCCCTTACATCTTCAAATTTCTTCATTTTGGAGAGCATTCTTTCTCCAACAAACATAAGAGGTAGCATGGTTTCGCGCAACTCATCAGGAATAGATATTCTTAAAAACATGAAGATTCTAGTGATAAGTGCACCATATGGAAGATGACCCTTATCCTTCTGTAATGCTCTGTACATATGGAATATGATGATGTGAGGGAGAGAGAAGGATTGACCTTTTAAGATAGCCCAAATGAGCTTGATTTCTGATTTTGATAGGTCAGTTTTTTAGGCATCTTTGGGCTTCAAACAATTGATTATGATCTTATGCAAGATCACAGATCGTCTGGACAAGTCAGAATAGGAGAGATGGCGCTTGGATACTTGAGCAAAGTTTGGATTTTCAGAAGCCACCTGTGAAGCTTCTTCAAGATTCACTGCCAACGGAGTAAAATTGGAGTGTGTGGCTCCAATTATCCTTGCCAACTCATGCGCTTTTAAGTCAACCTTCTTGTCACTAACAGTGAACTGAATCCAATTTGGTGACAGAATTAAAAGATTGGAATAGAAGTAGGTAGTTAATTCAGCATAAGTATTGGCAGATTGAAGGCAAAATTCATAAAACCTTAACTTCTCAAACAGGTGCTTTACAGATATGCCAGTCTTCTCTAGGTAGTCGAAATCCACAGTCCTATTGTTCATTACCCCTCGAGCAAGTAATAACTTGTAGCACATATTATGCTCAGTGCTTCTGAACAAACGTCCTGTTCCAGGCACACCAGATGCTATTCCCACCTTTATCTCAAAAGTATCAAAATATCGTGCATCATCATCAGGAACAACAAATTTCGAGGCACTTGTGGACTTAGGCTTATATAAACAGATTTCTTTTCAGAAGGAGTGGAAGTTTCTCCGACTTTTTCTTTGCCCTTTTTGGAAGAAGATTCTTTTGGGGTAGAGCTGGCTGGAACATTGTCAGTTTTACTACAAAACTGAGAGTAGGTTTCAGTGAGATGTTCTTCAGAGAGTAAATTATTGTCTTTAAGACAGTCACGCAGAACCGATTCAGAGGCATTGCTTCTCTTTAACCGCTGATAAGCATTCCATGCAAGCTTGATACTTCGAAAACGAAAATTTGTTTTACCCGACGATTTTTGTGGTGACAATCGCTGGGGAGGTGTCGCTTCAGAAGGGTCTTCATAATGGTCGGATTCTGAGTCTAAAACCTCCAAATATTCCGCCGGTGCTGTAGACTTGGAGTCTTGGTCGAGAATACGTGAAGATCTTCTACGGGCCACCATCTTGAACGACATTTTGATCACTTTTGGAGAGGAAAGTTTCGATCTTTGGAGGAAGAAGAGGAGAGTCTCTGAATATCGGAAAGGTTTTGAGAGTAAAAGATCGTACTGATAGGATTTTGAAAAGAAGATGACGGGTTTATAAAGGAGGTGGATAGGCTTTGGAAGGAAAAGTTACTTTTAAAAAATAAAAAGATATCCCAAACAAGTAGGAAGAAAATATACTCTTTGAAGCTTAATCAAACATGATGACATCATAATAATATATTAAGCACAATTTATCAGATAAATTAGAATACATACTTGATTTGCTTCCAAAAGTAACGATTATAAAACTATCCTGCCAAAAATATACCCGCCAAAATTTGAATAAGGAACGTACCTTTCTTTATGAGTCTGAAAAATTTTCAGACTGAGAATATTTGAGTCTGAAAAATTCCTGTCTATCAAACACTTCAAGAAAATGGATAAGTGATGCACAGTTTGTTTCTTATGAATTCAAATGAAGATTTATCAAGAGGTTTTGTAAATATATCAGCTAATTGATTCTTAGAATCAATTAATTGAATATTCACATCACCATTTTGAACATGATCTCGAATAAAGTGATGCTTGATTTCAATATGCTTAGCTCGAGAATGAAGAATGGGGTTCTTTGTCAAATTGATTGCACT